AATTTCTACAAAATTTTGATAACTATTAATACTAAAGGTAAACCTCCATTTTTTATAATTTTATCTTATTCAGTATTAAAAATAAGGGTAAGTTTGTGTAAAGTTCTCTATTCTAAAAGCTTTTAGTTTTCGAAATATCGTTAGTTTATTGTTTCCATATGGCTATTTAGTAGCATCTTATTTTAAATACTGTCACTCTCTCAGTTGTCATAACAAAAGACGCCATTTTTAATACAATCCAATGCCAAAGGAATGCTGACAGCTGTTAGTTAACCTTTGAAACTAATTAATAATTAGCCCAGACGCTTAAATTATACAAACGAAGATTATTTAAACTTATTTATTATTTATGGAGAATGTGATAAAGTTAAATCAAGAACATGTGACACATTTGCCATTCAATATCTACAAAAACAGAAGCCTTTACGCTGTGTTGTTAAACAAATTATAGAAAGTTTCAAGTATTTTGAATACGTCTAAATAACAGTGCATATTCAATTTATAAGAGCCACCAGAAAAATTACACAGCCCTAGATTTAAAGAAAAAATTGGTTTGTGTTCTTTATATAATGATAATTGATAACCATAATAATTAATAATAAATAAACGGTTTTTGATAAATCTGTATCACATTCCCCATAATACGATAATAAATAAGTTTAAATAATCTTCGTTTGTAGAATTTAAGCGTCCGGGCATGATTATTAGTTATGTTCAAAAGGTAACTGACAGCTGTAAGCATTCTTTTGTCACTTGACTGCATTACAAATGGTCACTCTTGTCATGACAATTAAGAGTGACAGGATTTAAATTAAGATGCGGTAAAATAGTAATATGAAAACATTAAATTGACATTATTTCGAAAACTTAACACTTTTGGAATAGACAACCTTACACAAACTTACACCTATTTTTAATACTGAAAAACATAAAATTATCAAAAATGGGGGTTTCCATTTGGAAAAAAATATTTTTGTTGGTTTTCTCAACGTCATTTTGAAACTTATTTTTTTAACACTTTGCATTAATAGTTTAATTCCATTAAAGTAAGTCATATTCGCTTATATGAAAAATAAATAATTATTCGAGTGACTGCAACTTTCTTTT